CTGCAGCTTCAAGGCTGCATGGCATCAGATAAGGATAACAAGACTGTGTTTGGGTCAGGCAGAGATAATTTTCCCGCTGCCTTCAGTCTGTAACTGGTCATTCCAGTCCTTCAGTGAAGCCAATTTGGGTGATTAAACATCTCCACACCGTCCGGTGACCCTCTCCGAGATGACATCCATTTTGCGCACTAACGCCGGTAACGCAGCTAAGACATTGTCCAGCTTGCGATTCACCTCGAGTAACGTCCCAGTCTGTGAGGTCTCCGCCCGGATGGTGCCGTCCATGGGTGCGGGTCGCCCTCCAATCGCTCCCGTCATCCCAATTTTCCGGAAAACCAGATATCCTCCCACTCCAATCAGAAGAAATCCAGTGATCATCAGGCCAAATATCCACATATCTTCAACGTCCTCAATGGACAGCTGAGAGAGACAAATGACATTCCACTTCTTCTAGGAATCGAGCATATATCCCGCTGTGTCCTGTGAGGGCAAGAGCGAGCTCCCTCCTCCATTCTCATCGTAGAAAAAATCTTATCAATCGAGTTGAATGACCAATTAATTAAATCCATTTCTGAAAAATAGTGATTTCCAGAGGAAATGCAGAGAAGCGCTCTGTAGGCAGACGGGACAAAAAGAGCCTTGGGAAAAAGATAAGGGAGCAAAAGCAGAAGCGACCGTGCTCTGTGAGTGCAAGGAGGGAAGACTATACATATTGATTGGGAGAAACAGACTAACACCGGTAAGTAGGATGCACACTACTATACACAGTTATTAGATTATTTTGTACATTATTAAGTTGTTTTGTGGCACTAGGTGTGTGTGTGTGATGTATTACTAGCTGGGTGTGTGTCTGTGGCTGGGTACCGATTCTGAACCTCAGTAGCTTTAGGATTAACCAAAAACATTCTGTACATAAGTACTTGTACGAAAATATTTTTTCAATCTTAAATATTGGGAATTTGCCAATAAAATGTTGTTGTAAACTGGGTACCGCAAAGTTGCATTCCTATTGGTGCTGCGTGTCACGTGACCGGGGTCTCACACAGCCCTGCTTCTTGTTTACAGAATCGCTTCCTGGTTCGCGGACTAATAAAACTTGAACAAATTTAAAATTTACCTACCTTTTGTTAAAGGAAATAAGAAAAATACTAAAGGTAACATCCGTCACAAGTTTTGTGTTACTAAATATTCAGTCCTTGTCTGTAAACTCTGTCCAGCGTTGTAGGGAACATTTTAGATTTTAAGGTTTCTCAGCCCTTCTGGTGGGTTTTTAGTTCACTAATACTATGCATATTCTCAAAATGTTGGAGTTTATATTTGCTCTCTTTCTGAATGCATTGTATTAAAAAACATTATGTTTTAAAGATGTACTTAAAAAAAACTACTGTTTTCACAGCAAAATTATTTTATCTGTACAGTTCTCTGTTTTGCACAAAGAAGATAGTAAAACTGAATGAAAGCATAAACATATTGTTTTATTCTTTATTTTTATTATAATTACTAAAGCACTATGATTAAAATATTATGGAAATATTCTGGATCAGCATCATGAAGCAAATTATATACAGTTAGTTTTCTGGAAAAGGAATGAAATGTCCCAGAATGTGTATGCATGAGTTTTATATGCATGAAAACATATTTGTAAATGAATTATGATATATCATTGTACAGACGTGCCTCGTAAGGAGAGGAGGCGGAAGCAGCGTCAGAAAGAGCTACATGAGGCAGCTAAAGGCAGTGGGTCCCTCACCAGCTGGATAAAACAAGAGTACAGGTAAGTTTTATCACAGCAACAAGTGTAGAAACAATAATATACACAACTGCAATGTTTTGATGCCAGAAAATGTTTTTGTTAGCCTCTTGATCATGGATTAGGTGCAAGACCTGTTAAATGTGAATAACTACATAATTCATTCATACAATAGCTAATTTAGCCTTGTTCTCAGATGGACAGCAGGTGGAGAGTGATAGATCACATGAGGAGATTGAAGACACACACACACACACACACACACACACACACAACTCTTTCTGTTTATATTTCTGTCGCATTCTTATCTCTGACATGAACTCCTCTATTATCCACTAATGTTTAGATTTCCATTTATTCACCACAGGTGTTGTCTCAGATATTTCTGTCTTACAGTTCTAAGAGTTTTCACCAATTTTAGCCATTTTTTTATTATCTTACATTAATTTTGTAATTGACTAACATTTCTCCTCTGTTCATTTTACTGCCTACAGTCTGAGATCAACACAGCCTTGCCCTCAGCATCATCAGCAGCAGCAAGAGGAGCGACCCTGCAACAGCTACACTGTACCCCATCATCAGGTAAAACAGGACAGCAACAGATCAGGAGGTGGAGCAGGTTGTCCAGTAATCGGAAGGTTGCAGGTTTGATCCTGACTTCAATCAGAGATTGATGCTGTTGTGTCCTTGGGCAAGACACTTAACCTGCTGGTGGTGGTCGGAGGGACTGGTGGCGCCTGTGCTCAGCAGCTTCACCTCTGTCAGTGCGCTCCAGAGCAGCTGTGGCTACATCATAGCTCATCACCATCAGTAGGTTAATGTGTGTGTGTGTGAATGACTGATTGTGTTGTAATGTGCCTTGGGGGGGTTGTAGAACCCTAAGAAGGCATTATACAAACACACTACTACATTTACCAAAAACTGTTACTTTTGCTTTACATTGTCCTTATGGTGTACATAATGATTTGCTTCCATTTTGAATTTCTAATAAATATGATTTGTTATTCAGCCGGGTATACTGTGGTTATGTCATGGTGTTTGAAAATATTATTCTGTGTGCCCCTTTTTAAATTTGAGCACCCGCCCCTTCAAAGGTCTCTGCACAGCCCTGGTCCAAACCAATATTGGGTGTTCGGCCCCCTTCAACCAGTGCCTCCACTCATCGGAAGCCAACATTCCCTGTCCCCGACGTCATGGTTTCCCTCAGTTGGTGTGAAACATCAAGAGAAGAATGCAAAGGGATGCAGGCGATTATCTGTGGAACACAGCTGAGGCAACACGGCACCCACCCGAGTCTGACGCATCCACTTCGAGAGTGAACTGTTTGTTCGGGTTTGGCCTGGTGAGGACTAGAACATTGGTAAACGTGTGCTTGAGTTCAGAAAAAGCCTTGTCAGCTGCAGGAGTCCATACAAGCGATTTATTCACAGAGGTAAGGGACGTAAAGGGTGCAACAGTTTGGCTATAGTTCAGGATAAAAAGTCTATAAAAATGGGCAAACCCCAGGAATCTTTGCAGCTATTTAGGCATTGTTGGAGTCGGCCAATCGAGGACCGCTTGTACCTTTGTATGGGCCCAACTTCAACTGCCCGCTCTCAAGTACGAATCCCAGGAACTTGATGGATGAAACATGAAAGTCACACTTTTCTGCCTTGACGTAGAGGCGATCCTCTAGGAGTCATTGGCAAACAGCTCAAACGTGTTGGTAGTGTTCTGAGAGGTTTCTGGAAAAAATCAGAATATCATCCAGGTTGACTGTGATGAACCTGTTCATGTAGTCGCCTAGTACGGTGTTCACTAGTGACTGGAACACGGCTGGAGCGTTGGTGAGGCCGAACGGCATAACCAAATATTCAAAGGGGATGTGGAGATGGTCGATGATAGATGGATCCAGTAGGTTTTGTTCACTCCCAGAGTCCAAGGAAGCCTTATGTACCAGTGACCGTCAAACGAGTGCTCCCCTGGGCTCTTCTGGACACCGGTTTGGACTTCACTCTCATGTCCAGTTCCCTTTTTGACTGCCTTTGTCTAACCACTTACAAGCCGTTACACAGCCTTCATGGTTAGCAGAACATCAGTGCCTGGATGCTGGTGGATGTCTCAGCTCATGGAAAAGCTCATCTGATGGTTGGCTCAAACACACAGACTGGTGCAGCACGGTAAACAACAAGAGCAACAAACTCCAGCTTACTTTCAGCAGCTGTGAGGAGAAATTCAAAGTTTCTTCTACAAGAGAGGCACTTAGTTGTCCAGGACCCAGTGATCCCAGCGTCACCTTAGCAGTTTGAGTGATGAGGACTGGGAGGAAGTTCGGAGCTCAAGAGGAGAGGCGCTTTCTGGCTTCACAATGTCAACAACTTGTTTCATCAACTTCTACCTGAGAAAATAACTGAAACATCGAGAAAGAACCGCATTCAGTGGCGGAACGTTTGGTGTTTGGCTCTATCAGCCGCTCCATGACCCATGTAACCTTAGCTTTCCACTCTTTCTATTGAAGTCTATGAGAGAGTCTAAACTTAGGACGGTGCTAAGTTTCACTGACAAAGGCCTGCTCTACTGATTCTGAAGGTCTTGGGCAGATTAGGCTCCTCCTGGCAACAACAGAGGCAGAATCTGATTGGTCAAAACATCCACACACGTAGTGCAGCCATGAAAAACGTTCCCCAAAACAGAGAAAAATTATTGGAAGCAAATTAATTGTTTTGTTGAAAAAACATTACAGGAACAACCCTGTAACCGGATGTCACTGTGTCCTCATAGGTGATTGTGATCAAGTTTAGGCCCTGACGACACACCACCGATCCTAGACCACAGAACTACTACAGCTTTAAAAAGGTCATAAATAGTCATCCTCTGTTAGAGATCATTAGATGTGTCTTTTATTACAAAAATGTTAAATCAGTGTGTTTTAGAGACACGGATTACCTCCTTATTAGGATGTTTTCCCTTCGAGTCTCAGGAGACATGTGGACAGAAGTAGAGATCCGATAATCAAAAGGTCTAAGTTGATGTTCATCATGAGTCAGAGCAAAGAGTTTTAACCCTCCCACTGTCCTAATGGGTGACCTCGCGAGGAAAGTTGACCATTGAGCAGGACTGATGGTTTATCCCTTGAGGTCTACGTGGCGGGGTGAGGTGGTGCTCACTCCTCACCCCTGCCACGTAGACCTCAAGGGATAAACCATCAGTCCTGCTCAATGGTCAACTTTCCTCGCGAGGTCACCCATTAGGACAGTGGGAGGGTTAAAAAGAGCTGATGTTTCATTTCTCACGCCTGGAGACTGATGTTTGTTTAAGTAAAGAGGCAGAGGAGACTAAGCTCCCGCTGTGGAACAAAGACTCACTGATGTTGCCCAGATGTGTTCCTGGAGCTGCTGCAGGATGGTTCCTTTGGGTTGGACCTGGTTTTTCCTGCAGCTCTGCTGGTACGCCTCAATCACCTGGTTCAGGGACTCGTAGCTGTGGGCTGAGGTTTAACAACGTATGTCTCAGTTCGATGCGTCTATGACACGGACACAATCTATCGATCTGTTGCATGAATGCATCACTGCTAGAAGTTGATAAAAAAACAACATTTTTCAAAGTTTGTGAACACACCATCACTAAATGCTAACTCACAGTAGCATTAGCAGATTTTATCTGTAAGACTCATAAAATAAACAAGGTTTTGTTCCTAGGTTAGGGTTAGAGATAACTTGGTGTCAGCACGTCCGAGCTGTTCATGTCAACACCGCTGAAATGCTTAAGGTAAATGTGTGAGTTCAGTTATTACAGATCAAACTCACCTGTCGGACCAGCGTCTCTGGGATCAGCAAACCCAGACACCATCTGTTCATCAGGAGGGAACGACACCTGCTTCCTTCTTTTCCTCTGGTTCTTGTTGTGAATGTCTGTGCTGTCCTCACTTTGTTCACCACTGTCACTACAATGTGTCATCTCTCTGTTTCCACCCGCAGCAAATAAACGAGAGTCCAGCTAAAACAGGAAACAGCCTTAGAAATCCTCTGATTTAAAGCAGAAGCGTGTTCCACCAGGTGAGGCAGCGGCCCTGTCAGCCCTGCGAGACAAGACACTAAACAACCAATATCTTATTCATGAGCCTTGCTCCGGGCGCCAGGTGATGCTCAGTATGTTTGCATCAAACACACATAAGGCTGAACATTTCCATACCTGTTAAGATTCAGCCTTTGCAACAACAGGCACACACGGTCGGACAGGCAGGCACACCAATGTCTGAAGAAGGCGTCACACTTATTGGCGTCTTTAGATTCTGCAGAATAACTCGTGAAACCCAAGCTGGTGTGAACCTGATCTCAGAGCCACGTGTTCTAGAGTCAGCTGGGTGTTTCATCACATTCTGCATCCCCATTAACAGTTAGCTTAGTTGTGCTGTTACGATCTGGAATAAATCATTACAGGGTAAACATACATCATTCATTACAGTGGAGTATTCAACATTATTAAACACTTTAGATTTCAGAGCCTCTTGTAGGTACCACAGAATATGATTGTACCAACTTGTAGAGTTAGAAAGCCAGAAAAGACAACTTTATTAGAAGGATTTGCATCTTCACAGGTGTGATGATATGGAACAGGATAGGTTAAGGATACTGTTAAAGTTCATAAGTACTCATTGGCCTGTCCTTTACGAAGAAAATGAACCTACTTGGGCTGTCGCGGTTGAGGAATTCCCCCTGCGGTGATTCAGAGTGGCTTAATATTGCCGTGTGCGATATTATTGCAGCACTTTTTTTTATTGCTGTACTATCTAAACATAATGTTTACACATTTAAAAAAGGTTAAAAATTGCCGTGCCTTCTTTTATAACACTTTACTGAATGCAGATCAAAGGGCAGTAACAACACAGATCGCAGTAACGTTTGTTTCTCCGACAGTCGGAGTCCGACTGAACTTAAAAACAACAAAATTCAGGAGAAGGTTAAACTTTTAAATGCAAATTTGGCTGCAGCATCTAACAAATAAGAAACAAGTCCCCATTTTGTTTAGTTGTTTAAAATCAAGCATAAAAAATTACATGTACCGGGCGCGGGGCACTATCATTTCACTTTCACACACACGAATGACGGTGCTTTATAGCTCGGTCACGTCCTTGTTACCCACAAGGAAAACCAGCATGTTAACCATATACAGTTGAGAGAGGATCTGAGAGGGGTGGCAACATTTGCAGCAACACTGAAAACCTTCTCGGATGGTGCGCTCGTTGCACTAACGCACACGTACTTGTGTGTGACTGGCGAGCAAAGGGAATCTCTCCCGGTTGTTGCTCCACCATGTCAGGGGGGTTTCTTTAGGGTGGATGCATTCCTCCTGCAGGTAGCGAGTGAGCTCCAGCTCGGCTCAAACTCTCTTCGGGACGGTTGCAGAAGCAGTGCTTGTCCGGGACTTCAGCAGGTCTCCGAGCGTTTATTATTATTTTTTTGCCGCTGGTGGCAGCTCTGCCTCGGCCAAGGACTCTGGCTGCGCAGCAGCTGACGTACTGAAAACCAAAGCGCTCCCACAGGAGCGAAGTAACGTTTCGTTTTGATACCAGTGCAGCCATCCTTCTCAACATGCATCATTGAGTTGAACCAAGTTCAGTAATCGCGGTGGCCCATGATGCAGCGCGGTGGGTTTCTTCATATTGCGATATTTCATTTTTGCGGTTACCGTGACAGCCCTAGAACCTACGATGATTTTGGTGAAATACAGGCCATGAGCTACGCTACACCTGTCTTCTCCATCCTCTATCCACTAACTTCATATCCTTTTTCACCTTGTTGGTCTTCCTTTCAGTCTCCTGCCTGGTGGCGCCAACATTCTACCTATGTCATCATTGTCTCGTCTCTGGACATGCCCGATGTCACGGTCAAGGTCAGTTTTTTTGATGTAGCACTTTAAGGGACCGTATCATGCTAGTTTACACCCTCCAGAAAAACGACAAGCACAATGATAAAATATTGCCGTTGGCACTATTGAGATGAACCTGTCCCTAACCCAATTACAAGACATATGTGTGAGCCATCACTTCTACACTCGTACAGGGTATGCTGGCTTTCAAGTGCGCGGGTGGTGATCTGACCAGGATGTGGTGTGCAAGGACGTCCTGGTGTACATGTGGCTGTCTGCTGGAACTACAGCCATTTCTTGTCTGTACTTGTGTACTCGCGTCCTTATGAAACATCATCAGCGGTGTCCAAGGACTGTTCCAATCCTAAGCATCCATCATGGCAAGTTCACTCACAGTTCCCAGATTTGTTCTTGCTCCGCCCATTGCTTTTAGCCACTCCCCCTGCTTCAGCAGACTTGGGACAGCAAAGTTTCCCATCATTGATTGCGTTGCAACCGTTATACTCAGACCGCCAGAGAAGAAAGCTAATAACTGTAATGTTATCAAGAAATTTCTCCTATTGTTTACCGTCATTCAAGGAATGGTGACAGACGCGGTCTTTATCAATAAAAATTACAACAAACACAGCATTTTAGCTAAAAATTATACTACAGTTCTGTATTTTTGAGTAATAAAATAAACTGTGCTTAATAAGTGTGTTACTATACTCTAAACAAGCAAAACTGTCGTAACACGCTTCTTTTAGCCACCCCCCCTGCTGCGTGCATCTCTTTTCCAGGCCACACGCTGCTCATCGTGGCCATTTCCCCCCAAAACTTTATTTTCAACTTGCCGCAGAATTATAAGGGGGATAGGGATAAACAAGCAAAAACAATTAGTGACATAAAATGTAACATGAATTAACAGGAGGTGCCAGGGGTTTGTTGACGTACAAAACCGGATATTTACTCATTTTGGTTGAAATAAATAAAAGAAGAAAGAGAAAAGAATAACATTACATGTTTTCAGAGCAAAGTCATGCTCACCGTGGCCAAAGCCGACGGTCCCGCGTGTCCCTGAATGCAGCTTCACGTGCGCAGCTGCGCTTCTAAATCCACCAATAAGACTGCAGGGCGTTTTGACGTCACTTCCTACGCGGTAGTTTTGCAGGAAGTCCGGTTTGACAAAGATTTAGTTCAACAATCAGCTGTACACCACAACGTTACGGTGTGTATTCCTTTTTAATTGAACGTAAATGTGAATTTCTACTTGGACCAAACGTTTTGATCCGGTAGATGAAAAACGGCTGCATGGAGAAGCTAACGAGGCTACGTAGTTAGCATGAAAGCTAACTAACGTTCTACCGCGTCACGGAGCTAGCTTCGCTGCTCCAAAGTAAACTTTTATTTTCCTGTTTGGGTCGTGGCTTGTGGTCAGTCCCAGCCGACGTCCGGTGTAGTTAGTTTCACCGACTCCACCGTCGTAGCGTTTCCACCAACAGCCAACTTGCTCACACTCGTTTAACAGTAAACAACAAAGACGAACTCTGGCGCTGTTTCCTAGCCGAGTTTAGAACATATCGGAACCTCCTAACAGATCAGGAATCCACGCTGAGACTCGTGTCAGGAACCTGACTGGTGACGCCAAACGAGTCCTCACCTGGAGCCTCGCTATTCACCTGTTCCCTGTTCTGTCCAGCCCAGGTCAGGATCATATTTATTAGCTGTGTTCTATCGAAGGTTCCACCAGGGAGAACCTTCACCGCTGTGACTCGGGACAGCAGCACTGGTGCGTTGGTTGTTTTGGTAAATGGCATTTCCAGTTTGTCTTGGCATGCATTCCTGGAATGTTCCAGCTGTAGTGGTGGCGATGAGAGGTGTGACGTCATCAGGGAGGTGCTGACGGCACTCCTCTGACGCCATGAGGACTTGGTTTTGAAAAGCCAGGCTGATCTCTAACGTTCCCTTCCAGATGCCTCCTAAAACCAAGGCAGCAGGAAAAGGCAAAGCTCCAGCAAAGAGGAAGCTGGCAGAGGAATTTCCACCTGGAGAAGTTCTGACGGACACTGGAAAGAAATCCTGGAAGCTGGGTGCTCCGATCGGCAAAGGGGGGTTTGGCCTCATCTATCTGGGTACCCACAGCTGATGTTGTTTAGAGACAGGATTTTATTTGTTTACCGTGTCATCTCTGGTGTTTACCTGGAGTTCTTCTCTGTTTTCATCAGCTGATCCAAACTCGGACAAGCCTGTGGGGACTGATGCTCGCTACGTCATCAAAGTGGTAAAACAACTTCCTGCACCGTTGAATTTCCTGAGAAACACCTGAGAACGGGAAGGTGGCTCACCTGTGTGGGCTCTGTTGGGTTTAGCACATCTCTCTCAGGCGTTCGCTCCAGAAACGAGAGCTTCGTCAGAAGTGAAATGAGCTGAACTGGTTTGTTCATTTTAAACGTGTGAGAGAAACCTGCAGCTTATCCAAATGGATCGCTGAACGTGCTCAGCTGGCTTTAAAGAGGTTTTTTTTTCTAATTCATATGAAATGCTGTCCAAAAAATCCTGTTTGAAATGTTAATTGTGGATATTTAATTTAAAATACATAACAGCAGTTTTCTAGTAAAAAGAGCCTTTCTCATCAGAGCTTCTAAAGGTTTTTTTTTTTTAAATGTG